GAGAGAGAGAGAGAGAGAGAGAGAGAGAGAGAGAGAGAGAGAGAGAGAGAGAGAGAGAGAGAGAGAGAGGGAGGGAGAGAGGGAGGGAGGGAGAGAGGGAGAGAGGGAGGGAGGGAGAGAGGGAGGGAGGGAGGGAGAGAGGGAGGGAGGGAGGGGTCAAATTATTTTTAACCTCCTTTTTTTACATTTTTATTATTATTTTTACTATAATTTAAGAATATATTTGTAAACAGCTTTTTGTTAATAGCATATTCAAACATTTCAGCTAAACTAAATTAAATTATGCCAGATTAAATTTGAATACTTACATATCCTAAATTCTGTCCAAAAATGCTGAGATCCATAGAGAGAAAGACTGAAATCGATGATTTAGCTCATTTCAGCTTGTGTCTGCAGTGAAGAGGTCCCTGTTTGAGACAAATACACAGTAAGACACATGCAAGAAATCACTGTGTGATGATCGTTCTCCTTCCTACAGTAGTTAACCCACCCGTGCGCTGATATTAGGACCTTCCTGGTCAGGTGAGACTGCAATGGTACAGAGTCTTCTGCCTAATAAAATATCAAAATAATGCAAAAATATAAACTTATTTGTTTAGAATGCTAGATTTGGTATGAATGAATTAGTGAGAGTTTTACTGCAGTGCTTACCTGGATACATTTCATCTGGTGAGACTGAACATAGAAAAGGGCCCATCTTCTGATTGGTTCATTTGCTGTGTAATAAATATGTTAGACATGATGCAAAGGTCACTTATTTGATATAAAGTTAGCCAATTTTATAGAGATTTTATAAGATATCGTATGCTACCTAGTCTGCAGTGGCTCCAAAGCACTTATATTGCTAATCATTTCAGCAAACTTATGTCAAAATATATAAAAAACTCTGTATGTGGTGTTTGACGTCAGAGAAAATCTCCATGATGCAATGGGAATCACAGTTATTTACTGTAAAGAGAAATAGCAGTATAATATTGGGTGATTTAAAGTAAATAACTGTAGAAATTATAACAGTGTTGGCCAACTAACACACAGCCACGTCCTGCCACTCATGAGCCACTGTTCTCAAAATCTGACAGTTCAGCATCTTCACTCAACTGAATGATTTCAGGGACATCTCTTTAAGGACTGAGAAATCCGTTCACAAACTATTTGAAATTTATAATATAACATATTTACGAGGTTATCATTAAGAGGAAAAGGGAGTCGGACTTTGTCCACTAGAAACTAACATCAACGGTCGAAAAGATTTTTTGTTGCATCATAAATCAAACTAAAGCCAAAATTAAATAATTTAAAAATACAAATGAAGTGGTTATTTAACATGTAATTGTCACATATAAGTTGGTTTCATTGTGTTTTGGTTTGGTTTAGTTCTAGTTCCAGTTTCAGTTGTTCTCATTTTCCTGCAACTAGTTAGTTTCCATGGTTTCTAATTAGTTCACACCTGTTCCCTGTTCTGTTGACAAGATTCCCTTGTGTATTTAAGCTCTTTGTTTTACTCAGTTCCTCATATGGTGTTAACTGTGTTATAGCGTGAAGTGCATTGTTTCTAATGATGGGAAGTCCGGAAGTCTCTTTTGACTCGGCTCCCATAGAAGAGCCGGCTCTTACGGCTCCCAAATGGCTCTTCATTTAGTATCACTCAGAGCTTTCTATATTACCCCAAATTTAACAATTGTGAATGATTTGTGTGTTGGCAAGCATTTTTTTATTTAGTGTTTTCATAAAAGCCTTATTTTTTGTGCATTTTTTCCGTTACAAAAAAAATACAGTGTTACTATTATTTAACATTTTAATAAAACTTTAATTCAACAATTGAACACAGAACCACAGCAAACAAACCAAATAAATAAAGGCAAAAGTCTTAACATTATTTAAATCTGGCTCCCCCGTCGCTCTGTGTACCTGGCCTGTACCACTACACTCGCAATCTTCGGAGCGTGTCCCCCTTCATTTCACATAATGGTATGATCTGTCCTCCTATGTGATTGGCTACCTGGTGTGCCCATCCAAATAAAGTCCCGCCCCAAATAAAGATTCGGCTCTTCGCGTTCGCTACAAAGAATCGGCTTCGCGAACGACACATCGCTAGATTAATCGTCCTCCTGCCAGTAGTAGTAGGCTAGTAGTAGTAATAATAATAATAATATATACACTGCATATAATATTACATATATAATTACACTACCATTGAAAAGTTTAAAGTCTTGGGGTCAGTAAGAATTTATGAATGTATATTTTTTTACATAAGTCTCTATATTTATTTAATAAAAATACAGCAGAAACAGTAATATTGTGAAATATTATTACTATTTAAAATAATGGTTTTCTATTTTATTATATTGTATATAAATGTAATTTATTCCTGTGATGGCAAAGTTGAATTTTCAGCATCATTATTCCAGTATTCAGTGTCACATGATCCTTTAGAAATCATCTAATATGCTGAATATGGTGCTCAACATTTCTCATTATTATCAATGTTGCAAATAGTTGTGCTGCATATACATTTGGTGAAAACTGTGACATTCTGAGGAAAAGTGAGGATTCTGATTTGAGGAATAATGAATACGTTTTTTTTTTAAAACACGTTTGTATCTAAAAATCGATTTACTGAATAAAAGCATTGATATTATATCATATTATGTTATGTTATATTAATAACCTTAAAGATGTGGACTTAACAGAAAAATGTAACAACTTTTTTTTAAGTATTTTCCTTTGTGTTTCACAGTAGAAAAAGTCATTCTAGTTTGGAATGACATAACGGGGAGTCAAAAGATGACCGAATTAGATTTTTTGGTTGAACTATATCTTTAATAAATCTTATTTGGAATAACAATGGAATAATATTTTAATCTAATACTCAGCACTAAAACATGTTCTTTAACTTGTGATGGTATAATTGTTTAAAAAACTTTTAGTATATTTATCCTCCTACTGCTAATGTCAAAGTAGCAATTAAACACAAGCTGCTACAGACGCTGCAGTTTGGGAGAGTTTAAATCTGGTTCATACCCTCATAAAAACTGTCCAGATAAGAATAATTCTGACACGACATTTTCTGCTCATCCGATAATCCTAATGAATACTTGATCAGCACACACTAGCGACCAAGATGAGGAAAAGAGAGAGAATAGGTCAGCCTTCGTGCCTCTAGAGGAAAAAAAAAGGAGATTTGACAGAATCAGAAGCAGCACAGATGAGTCAGAGAAAAATGTGAGGAAGCTTCCTAAGCTCTAGTCTCCATTCGCTGACTCATTTCTGATATGTGTGTGTGTGTTCATTTGTTTCTCACAGCAGATCCACATGACTAACACTGATGATGGCCGCAGGTGCTTGCAGCAACTCCTCCGGTGTTCCTGCAGGGTGGCCAAAAGCAGTCACTTATTTCTCCTTGAGTGCTTCTGCCTGCGGTGCAGCTTATATGTTCCTACTATGAGATGTGGAAGAGAATGGGTACAAACACTGCTCATTAAACACTGAAGTCATTGTTCAGCTGGTGTGTCAAAACACAATGCAGTGGAGAATTAAAGTAACCGGTTCGCTTTAAATGAAGTCCTGCTTGTTATGAACACCAGCAACAAGATGAAACATTTAACGAGTATTACCTGTGCTTGAAAGTGTTCTGGTGCTGGTTTAACTGACCACTGCAATAACCTGAAAGAGGTTTTCGAGACTTTAGAAATTAGTTTTCATCCCCAAAACACAACATTATTCCAACGCAAGTTAAGAAACAAGTTAAGATTTTTTTTGTATTTTTTATTTAAAAAAATCAAAATCAAATGGAAGTATGAAAAAGTAAAGAACAATGTTTTATATTTTGTGTATAAATATATACTTCAATAATACATTACTAACATTATATGTGAACCTCAAAGAACATTCAAATAATAAAAAATATACCTTTTAAAATAAAAACAATGAAACTTTGAAATATTTTATTTATTTACCTGCATGTGACCGACATCAGAAAAATATAAACTTAATTTTATTATTTATTATTATTGACTTCATTTTATTATTGACCTAACTTAACTTAATATCTCAGGGGGTACTTCAAGTTAAATAGATTATAGGTCAAAGAGGTTCAGCCAACAAAAAGTTGGAGAATACCTGCATGCATGTAAATATAAAATGATTTGAATTTGCACATTTTAATGTGTTTGAAAGACAATAGCCTTCCAAAGACAAAGTATTAGTTAAAGTAATAGATACAGAATTTTATAGATAAAGATAAATTAATAGCAGGCTAGGGATAATAAATTAACTAATTTACGGCCATTGTAAGAATAACATGTAATCAATAAAAAAGTAACAGTTTGATTACGAGTATTTTAAAAAATACATCATTACAAGTAAGCTACTTCATTTAAGGGATCTGATTCAACCCATTTGAAATAAAGGTCACATAAATAATTGTCTGGACTGGCCAAATCTACAGCTAAAATGTCAAAAAGGTAAACATACATTGCATTTCCTTTTTTTATTTTATTTTTTACATACATTGCATTTCCAACATCCTCTTTAAGTGTTTGATTCCATGTGATGTGGTGAAAGATCTTCTGTAGTACAAATAGTTCAAAACATTATGCAAAGCAAAGCTGCATTCTTCAGTTATAAGTTAAAGTTGCAAAATGCCAGGAGCCGCCCACCTCACTGATTTGACTGAGATTCGATCGTCCCACACAAAAGAGTAGGAAGCAAGGAACAGAGGGCACTGGCTCTGCAGGGTTACGGATATGGAAATATGGAATAGAGAGCCAGCTGTTAAAAATAAAAATGGCAAGTTATCATAAAGATGCAGAGAACTTCTGTGATGAGACTGAAGAATAGTGTACTACTGCCCCCTTGTGGTGTCAGAATGTAGTGGCCAAAGTAAGTTTGTACAGTATTTCTGAAGCTGTGAGATTAATGCCACATATCACCGTCACTGATCAAAAAGTATGAAACTTGTCCATTGAGTTTGTTTCTAAGAAATGAGCCGTTTTCAAACATGACATTCCAGCGATCTTTATTTTTTGAAAGAGATTCAAAGGGGTTTTCCATAAATACAAAAATAGCATATACAGTACTTCAGTTTAAATGAGATAATACATGTTGCAGGATTAACAGTTTAAATCAAATTATGATTAAATGAAATTACATAGTGAATGCCTGGGCGCTCATTGGAGAAGGGGGACAGAACTATACACACATATTCTAAAATCACATCCTTTCATGTGGACTTTTTTTTTTAAATACAAAAAAAAAAATATTGATCCCATTATGTGAACCTGATATATTGACAATTGCACAGAGATGACTTCATGCGCTCACCAAAGCACATAAACATTTTCAAAAGGAAGTTCTGCTTAAATTCATCACACAGTTAACATATGCCTTACACACACACACTCACACGGAAGGTCTATTTCAGTTAGCAGAAATCGTTAATAAGGGCACCGTGATCTCAAATGCATCAGTGTGTTACATTTAACCTGATAAGCGATACAACACAGAGTAGGACTTCGCACATTTACACGAGTCATAACCATTAGCCAAATTTTCCACACCGGCTCTGGTTGATTCAGGAATATTGTACAATTACTAACAGACGGAATTAAGGCAATTACAAAACATTAAAAGTGCTTCAGAGGGCAAATGTTTTTTTTTTTTAATTGTCATCACATAAACTGAGGTTATAAATAACCTGAGGCTAGACCTCTATACTTTAAAGAGATAGTCCAGTCAAAACATTTTATTCTGTCATCATTTCACCGTACGCTGTATGACTTTCTTCTGTGGAACATAAAAGAAGACATTTTGAAGAATGTTAATAGTTTCGGTTACCATTGACGTAGAGTCATACAGCTTTGGAATGACATGATGGTGAGCAAATGACAGAATAATCATTTTTGCGTGAACTACACCTTTAACCTATCCCTTTGGGACTTTAAAAAGAAAGAAAGAAAGAAATGTGTCAACGACATTGTCTAAGCAGAATGTGGTTGGCATCAATCAACCCACTAACCTATTTACAGTTCCTCAAGCACGCAGCCACACGTGATCATGGCGTTAGTCTTCAGCACTGCTGCAAATAAATGCCACTGAAAGTAATCATTTAAAAAATATTGAAATAACCGTGTTTGCCGTGTGGCTGTGCGCTGTGATTTTGCTGGAGGAAATGAACATAAGGCATGGGTGAACTGAAAGCACCGGTACACCAGCGTGGGCAGAGCAGTGCTCGACTCTGCCAGAAGATGGCATCAGGCCAGTCTCATTTTTATACCGCCTATTGTGTGCCCGATACAAATTCTCTCATGTCATAAGAGAACGAGCAAGATCCACCGCCAATGTGAAATCTTTGTATAGTTTGCTTAAAAAGAAAATAAGTCCAGATGGAAAAACGAGACCTAGAGGGGCTAAAGCGGTTGCTAAGCCCTTGTTGCATTTCTACATTGAGAGAAGTCTAACTTGACATTCCCTCAGGTTGTGTGGCTGTCTACTTGCTGATTGGCTGCAGAGGTGATGCTGGGCGTGTAAGGGGGTGGGGCATCGCTAATTGCACTGGAATCGTTGGCGTCCGGGATGGCGATGCTCAGGGATGCATCAGTATCGTCGTTTTGAGCGTACTCGCTGTACGGTGGAGGCTTCAGGTCATTTGCTGCACAAAACAAAGACGAGAGAGCACAATGATCATGCAAAAGGTTTAAAATGGAAAAGAAAACAAAGAAAAAACAACAATGATAACACAAAAATAAATAAAATATATTATATATGTTATATATGTTATATTTACAGAAAAAAAAAAGGCAGCTGTGGTTGACAGATATTCACTGTAAAAAATATTATGAGAATGATTCTGGTATTACGAAATCGGGGCATGTATATTTTACGATTTATAAACTGGAAATTTTCATTAAGTGATGTAATGTTAATATAATAATGTACTTGAAGTACCAACATCTGCATATTACCTTAAAATGTACTGATAACCAGCGTAATAGTAATAGAAAAGAAATAGGAGGGTGGGCGTGTGTGTGTGTGTGTGTGTGGGGGGGGGGGTGGGGGGGCTTTTAAAAGACAAAGTAAAAGTCACTAAAAATACAAATACATTATAAAAAAAGATAATAACAGTAATAAAACTAGAATAACACTAGTGACTCTCAGCAACTTTCTGCACAACTAAACCTTCCAATGACTCGTCAATGTAATATGCATGCAAAATAGCAAGGTCATTCTAAAAAAACAAAAACTATTTCCTGTTTCATGCTGCAGTCCACTGCAAACCATCAATCTATTTGGTCTTTTAATAGCAAACAAAAGCAAATATTGCCAAATATTTCCATGGAACAGGTGGCACAAACTACACACACAGCACTTGGAAAAAAGGGGGGGTTTCCATCACCACTTCACTCAAATATCAAGAAACGGTGGAAACGCTGAATGATGTGTCATTGAAGTTTGACAAAAACCACATCCTGCCCTGAAGATATAATTTTTCACTCTTCTGGGTCAAGGAAACGCGGTATATGCATGTGTTGCATCTTCGACCTCATGTTTTGTTCTTGGGGGTCTTCTAGACACCTACAGATCTACTTACTGAAATCCAAAGTTTATAAACTCATTAGACATTGTTAGATAATGAGAGCACAAATGGAAATGATGGACATGGAATGATACAGATGACTGGAGCTGTGAGATTTCCTTCTCTGCTGCTGAATGAACAATCGGTCTCAGCACAGAAAAGTAAACCCTACGCACAAAGCTTTGATTGCCAAATTCATTTAAACCTTTTCCATGTCTTAATGTCAATATCTGGCAGCTGGTGTTCATAAATGTCCTTCTCAACGACAGCGTGTCAGTTACAAAACCTGCCAATTAAGAAGCATTGGTCTAATTTGGGATGGCTGATGTCTGCAGGCCCACTATCCAACTGTTGCTCCCTCTTGTCATAAAATTGTCCCTGTTAACCATTTACAAAGCATAAAGCAGAGTGGGTGAACGCACGAGACTTTCCCTGATGAGATGTAATGTGTCTGAAATGCTGTTTCTCATATTAGGGTGAAAAGACATGTCAAGTATTTAGTGTTTGTCTAACGCTTGAGGCTTGACAGTGCTCACCATACCATATATGTATTCTTGCGGATTTTCTTGTAAACATATCGACCATTACTGTATTAAGCTTCTCATGCAGAGATGTTTTTAGGGATGAACTTAAACTGTGACAGTGACACACAAGAGAACGTCAGTGCAAGAGCTCATAGTTCAACAAACATTTAATCATTCACATTCCAGCTGCGCTGTGAGTGATCGCTTGGAAAATCACTTTCAGAGATGATTTTAAGTGCAGCACAGTCTAAATCAGTGTTTCTCAACCTCTCCTGCAGGGACCCCCTGACAGGCCATGTTTTTGTTTTAACTCTGAAATGGCACACCTGATTCAAGTAATTAAAGGCTTAATGAGTAATTAGAGTAGGAATAGTTCAATTAATCAATTAGTCAACTACTCATTAAGCCTTTAATGACTTGAATCAGGTGTGCCATTTCAGGGTTAAAACAGAAACATGGCCTGTCAGGGGGTCCCTGCAGGAGAGGTTGAGAAACACTGGTCTAAATGAACGCTGCAACAATTTCGGGATTTGGCGTATACACCGAGAGCCAGACATACTAGAAAATTATTAGCAGACAAGTCCCTATGACACTGTTTATGGTTAACTTTTTTGTAACACTCCATTGACCAAAAAAAATCCATGACTGTATAACAGATTTAAATGGTTTAATGAATGGTTTCATTTAAGTTCCCTTATTACGCTTTTTCGAATATTACCTTTCATGCAGTGTATAGGGCTGTCACGATGTTAGATTTTTCCAGTGGTGGAGGAAGTACTGAATCTCAGTACTTAAGTAAAAGTACAAATAACCAGAGACATATTTACTTTAGTAAAAGTAGAAGTACCACAATGACAACCCTACTTAAGTAAAAAGTACCTGATTTTAAATGTACTTTAAGTATTAAAAGTAAAAGTACTTGCATAACAATTTATTCTCTTAATGTCTATATTCTAATGATTAATAAAACAGTTAATTCTAACTCATTCAACCTAATACTCATATAATGATGTTCAATATGATGGAAAAGCAGTTATATTTTAAGTTTTTGTCACCATTTCTGAACAAGCTTGCAATTAGGCAATATACACATCAAGCTTACTATATACCCTTACTATATACGGTATATATATATATATATATATATATATATATATATATATATATATATATATAAACACACATATTATGTTAAAACGACGTATATGACGGCGTTTGGCTGTAAACGCGATTCATTTATGGCGTAATTCTGAACCTCTTGGCTTGCCATACTAATTCTAACCAAACGTATAATACACACGCACCCCACATCACTACTAAACCAATGCGTGTCCTATGCATGTAAAAACAAATTTTCGCGTATAAATTGCACGATAAACACACTGCGTGCTATACCGGGTTGATATATCTATGGCAACCAAACTTCACTGGTGAGACAGAAACGTGCGACGAACGGACGGTCAGGGTGACGTTTTGACAGGGGAAAACTGATCAGAAAATTTAACGAAAATGTAACGGAACGTTGTAGAAATGTAGTGGAGTAGAAAGTATAATAATTGCTGCAAAATGTAACGAAGTAAAAGTAAAAAGTATGCACTATTGATTCTACTTAAGTAAAGTACTGATACGTGAAAAATGTACTTAAGTAAAGTAACGAAGTATTTGTACTTCGTTACATTCCACCACTGGATTTTTCACACCACGGTTATTGTGGCCAAAATAATTCACGATATCGATATATCGCGATATCTATAGAAACCTTGGGGGAAAAATTTTTAAATCAGTCAAATAAATTTTTACTTTGTTTATTTAATTTTTCTTTTTTTGCATTTTTACTTCTTGCGTTCTTATATTTGAATGCACATTTTTGTGAAGTAAGACAAGCATGTGAAGTATATCTGGTTTCAAACTGGAGCGAAACACTGTCTGAATGTTCCCTGAAGAACTGAAAAGCTCTTAAACCTATTGTTGCGCCGGTGTCATGTAGATTTGAACAAAACAAATCAAGTGCAAATACAAAAATAAGACGAGTAAAGAAAACGGGGTACTTAATAATCACCCTTTATTTAAACATATGAAAACAGAAACCCGCTGTTAACAGGTTAATGTCACATTTCCCATTCCATGACTAGTAAAATAATCGCAATTTACTCTCTGTAAAATAGAGTAATCCTCAGGGTGATGGACACGGACTTGGGTAAAAAGGTTGGTGGCTACACATTCTGCAGATTGGGCTTAAGGGGGTCGCACACCGGACGAGAAGCGCGGCTCCGCGCCGCGTCGCGTGTAGCACACCTGACGTGCACTTTCTCAGTTCATGGCCAGCAATATTGTTATGTTTGAGGACATTATGAAATTAAGATCATGTCTGTACTATGTTATGATTGTACTGTACAATTAATTACGTTGCTAAGTCTGCAGTCTGAACACTTTACCTCAGTCAGAGCGCATCCGTTAACTGAATGATTTGAGAATCTCACCTGAAAATCCGAGCTGGGCGTCGCGGACAGACGCCGAATGGTGCCGGTGGTGTGTGTAAACTCCTAGAACATAATGTGTTCGAATTTTAAAGAATTCTCTGCGCTTCTCGTCCGGTGTGCGACTCCCTTTAAAGTGCTGTTTTCTTTGAAGCCCCCATACCAGAGTGGCTGCGCGGGCGCGCGCTGCGTCTTCTTCTCATTTGATAGATGTCAGCGGGTGCAATACTGCCACCTCAACTGGCGCTGGAGTATACGTGTCATGTTATCATAAAAGTCCTGTTCATTTTAAACATCGTGGTTATCGCCAATACCGGTATATTGCCACACTCTAAATTAACACGATGTCGATATTTCAAGCTTTGAATATCACGATTATCGTCAATACCGGTATATTGCGACACCCCTAGTGTATAATATAGCTTTTGTGAATGTAAAATGTCAGCAAAGTGCACAACAAGAGAAAAAAATTATTCTGAACTGCCGAAACAAGTCGTCAACAATTCCAGTATCAACGTCTACTTTGACCAGCCCTCAAACACTGTAGTTGAAGCTGAGACTGGAAGTGTTTGGTTTGTGTTGTCGACATGTTGAGAAGGCACTGAGAATCCACTTTGCATGCACTTCAAAAGGATGAGGATTTGCGCTGGAATTGATATGATAACTACGCCAACGTCACTGTTCGTATTACTGTCTATACCAGTGCTGAGGAAGACTCTGGAGCTGAAATTCAGATTTGGTAATGGGTGTTTCATTTCTGACACACGCTGTAAGCGGTAGATACGAATTGATAATTACATAAATTTAACAAAAAAAAAAAAACACATTTGATACAGTTTTTGGAATTGTGATGTCAGTCCCTAAAACTGTGGCATGTAAAGGGGAAAAACAAAACACTAAACAACAACAAAAGAAATACTACTTGTTAGGTATCAGTGGTCTTTAAAGTGGTCCAGTAAAAACTTTTCTTAATCTCTTAATGATTTCTGTCCCAGTACAGACTGGGGTGTATGTGTACAGTGAGTCAGTCTTACCTCCAGACACTGCCTCATATGGAGGAGGCATGTCCAGTTGAGACAGTGAAGATGAAGGTGGAAGAGAGGCGGAGGGTTCGCCGACCGAGCCGTCGTCCTGAACTCCGTACCAGCTGGGCCAGATTGATGTCTGTAGAGCAGAGCAGCAGTGCGAGTTAAACACCCACAATCAGACGGGAATCAGACATATTACCCACAAGAAGCATCTTAAAGACGACTTTAAATACATATGGCAGTGAAACACAATCCAGCCGATGTTTGCTGTTAAATGGTGGAATTCTGCAATCCCTTGCCCAGGCCCATGTATGTGCTTATAACCTACAAGACCTTGTGGTCTCAGTTTGGCTGATAAACACAATGATTTCCCAGTTCCAGTAAAGGATATGAGACACTTCTCTATTTTTTATGTCATATGCAGCTCCATAGTTCACCTAAAACATTTGCTTAAAGAAAAGGTCATCTTTTAGGTTGGATCTTAATGGTCTGGTATTTCCCTTCTTGATTACACTATTGCTCATCGAAGCGGTTTGTTTGGTATTAAACAAGTTACCATTTAACCATTATGTGATACATGGCGTAACAAATGACCTCATAAGGGCAAACTGCATTTTAAAAATACTGTAAGAAGAACAAAAACAACTACATGTGAATGTGTAAGCAGGCTAAAAGTTGATAATCTATCTGAACTGTTTGTTGTCAAATTAAGGGCATTTCCTGTGTGGAGAGCTTCAGGCAGCTTGGGTTTCTAAAAATAGACCTATATATTGTTCTCTCCACATTTGAAGACAGAGAAAACAACTTCTGTTAGAAGAAAGAGAAAACAACTTTCAAATTCTAAGATAATCTAGAACCTTTTTTATAGACATATATCCTATACTAATTCAGCTTGCAATTGTATCCAAAATATCCAGTCAAATATTAAAATAGAAACCTTATTTGAATGGCAAAGCTCTTGAAACGGTCTTCAATACTTATGCTACAAATTGCTTCCAGATGATTTTCTGAACACAAGACGCTTTCTTTTAGAAACAAAGGGCTTTTTCTGAAATTTAAAATGCAGCGTTACAGCTTCAATACAGTTTAGAGCTACAGAGAACACATTCTACACATCAGACTCTATTAAAGAAATCTCATTTATAATACAGTCACAGATACCATAACTTAACTGTACGAGTGAATCAGCTTTAGTCAAACTGCCAAAAAAAACAATAACATTCCTAAAAAGTTTTGTCAGCACTGTCACGGCTCTTAGCTCTGGGTCCTGTTCTTGTTCCATCAAGACTGCTTCTTCTGGCTTTTTCACAGGCACTGGCTAGTTTTGACAAGTGCTGTGCGCCAACAAGGGAAACTATTCTTCTGAACAGAAGAGCTCACACATTTAGTGGCCTGTGCGAATAACACAGACACGAGACCTGACACTCCTGCCCTCGGTTTGGTTTAACAGATCCTTGTTGCAGCTTTGAGTTTAGTGAGTGAAACGTTTTACATCATGAGTCAAAAAAATGCAGAGCACCAAGGTCAACAATAGTGTTGTGAAACAGTAAAAGTGGAAGTTCACCAAATCCTTTCCTGTAGATAAATGACAGACATAACATGTCACACTGAAAATGTGCACCACATTAGAATCCGCACTCCAATTCAGTCTGAAAACCAAGCAAACTGAAACCTTTGAGCAGATTCAAATTTCCTGTGTTCATATATATTAAAGATTCCCCTATAGACTAACATGCCTTTTAGGATTTGTTTTGGGTGATCCGATTACAAGTGTACAAATACATGTGTCAAAAGGGTTTAAATTACTCAACCAACATTAAAAAAAATGTATGACAACTTAACATTCATAGTGTAAAAGCTAATCTGTCCTGATGTATCCCGGACAACAGTGAAGGGCCACCTATTCATCTGTCAATCTCCACTATAACAGGGGTGTTTAAACTTTGCTGCTTGTTGTGGCAACATGGACAATTTGGAAACACGTATATGTATAAATATATATATATATATATATAAACATCAAATATACTGTCATATATATATATATGGTATATGTATATATGCAAGTAAAAAAAAAAAAAAAAATATAATTAAAAATCTAATTAAAAAATGAGTTGGCAATTTTTTTTAGATTCATTTCTACATTGAAGAACAACAATTATCAAGCAAGTAAAAACTTTTTTGCTCCGTGGAAAAAATTCAAGTATGAAGGGGTTAAATTCAGATTCAGTAAAATTACTGAATTTAATAAAAAATTCTAATAATACAATTATACAAAAAACTAATTTAAAATAAGAAATTAATAATTATTTTTAAAAAACATTTTTGGTTTCGGTTTTCGGCCAAGTGCATCCAGAATTTTAGGTTTCGGCCCTGAAATTTCATTTCGGTCCATCCCTAATTCATTCTAATATGCTGATTTGGTGTTTTTGATAACTTGATCAATTTTTTTTTTTTTTTTTTTAAATTATATATATATTAGAGCTGCATGATTCTACATAAAATGAGAATCACATTTTTTTAGTTTAAAATAGAGATTGCGATTCTCCCACGATTCCGAATAGACAACTAAACAAAATAACATGTAATTTCCTAGAGGTTCTGACAAAATGTTAATTGCTGCAGTCTACTTAAAAATATTAAATTAAATATGAATTAATTATATACTTTTTAAAAGTTAGTTTGAGTGAATGACTCAATGACTCGCTCATAGACTTCAATGGTCTCATTGCTGGATAAATCAGTGTTTTTGAACGCATCTCTTGAATGAATGATTCAATGGCAAATCTTTTTTTTTTTTTTTTACACATTTGTTGCCACCTACTGGTGTAATGATGTAACTGATACAATCTTTATTTGAAGTGTCAAGTTACTTTCAAAGGGTGATTTACTCTATTTTGAATTTACAGTGAACGGAGCCACTCTGAGACACACATAACCTACAGATAACCTAACCACATTTATTCAACTGAATCGCAGCCTTTGTGAATTCACAATAGCACTATGCTATAGTATGGTTGGTTTTTATATGGTTTTAATACATCATGATGCCTTCGAAAATGGTCTAATAATGCGGTTCATGGATTCTCGTCCGTGGAATGCGGCACTTCCAGTATTTTGCCGGTTACTTGGCATGGGTAAATTGCAATCGAGGATATTTTAACATCGAGTACTCTAATTTAACCGAGGGATCATGGCAGCCCTACATCAGTGTTTATATCAAAACTATAAACTTTTATTCCAGCACTTCTGTGATAATTTGAATGATTGTAAAACAGAAATAATGATACTGTGTGTTTGAAAAGAAGCTGTTTCACATTCACACCTATAGCCTACATGACAACTGCACTCCCTGGGTCAATGGCAATGCACATTTGAATGTTCGCTGTGATTGAACTTGTGAAAGTTTTAACAGACAGGCAAATCACTCTCATTTAAAAATTAGATCGAGTGTTTGAATCGAGATCGTTCCACGATTAATCATGCTGCTCTAATATTTAAATATAGTAATGGAGCTTTATTTTTAAATCAATTCCCTTCAATTCTGATCAAAAGGGGTTGCAGGTGAAGCATTTGATATGCATGTTAATACCAGGTGTAAACAGCTATATGTCTGACACTTTAACATTCAACAGGAAGATTATCAGTCCTGACATGAATACTTGCCTTTATTTGATGACAGATTAACGGTTTCAAATGAAAAAGTAAAATAAAAGAAAATAAGACAAACTAATATTGATATTGGTGTAATCTACTACCGTATGAGTGTAGACTGACTGAACAGTGATGGATTTAAATACATTTTTAGTGCTTAATCGCAACATTCCTCTTCCCCCTACAAGTGCTTAATCAAAGGGGAAAAGATGTGTCTGCTTATCAGTCTCTCTGTCATTTACCTGGTCAAATCTCCTGTGAAATGCCACTTAAGGTCAACAGAAGTTACCATAACATATTGCGTTTGAGTCTGTCTTATTGTTTTGCTGAATGTACACTGAATCCAGGAGACCCACACAGTACTACACAGGAAGCTAAACTTTGTCATACTTCCAAAACGTGATTATATCAGCAGCGGCTGACGCACAGCCAACTTGGCCACACCTTTAAAAAAAAAAAGGATCTGATTGAACTGAAGTTTGAAGGTTTAGTTTTACTCACATTTTGTCTCTCACAGACCTGGTGCAGGTACGCACGTCCTCCCACAATGACGATCTGAGCGTTTCGGGGATTGCTGAGGTACGCAGCGAGTTGTCTTTGCCTTGAGCGATACCAGCAGATGTAGAAGAAGATCTTAATCATAATAAATATTATGACGACTCTAAAACAAGATAAAGAACAAGTTAAAAAAGTCTCAATAATAGACTTTAATAACTGTAATTATTACAACACGTAAATAAACCAGAAAAAAGATATAAAATCAAATCAAAGATGATGTGAAACAAAAAACAGACAATACAACTGTAATTACATCAACAGTCTTCCTAAAACTTACATGTACCAGTACAGCTCCATGCTTTTCACCAGTTGGTATCAATTACCATAATCAGCTTCCAAGCTGTCAAACTGAAATAAGAACCAATAAGAGTTATTGGCAGAGTCTGCATAGGAAAATGTCATTTCGACATTCCTCATCTCATGTTTAAAGCAGCTCAGATTCTTAGAGTCACTCTAGAAACAATTTACAAGAGACTTTACTTTCTATATATTGTGTAACACACAAGGGTGGGTTATTACTACATAAACAGAAAACTGAAAATAAACTCACAAGCTTAGTTCGCCCATATAACAGTTAAGTTACATACACAAACAAACATAACAGAGCACGCGCACCACTAACGTGCATTCATTGGGATTTATTACAGCCCATTTTAGTTATATGACTTTAATACAACTTTTCATCAAGAAAATAAGCTCACCTTGTAAACGCGTTATAATTCGCGTTATAATCCAGTTTAGACAGCTAGCGAAGCATCTACTCCTCATAGACACAAGAGGAAGTCTCTTTGCTAACGGGCTAATGTAGTTAAATAAATTTACCTTTATAAAACACAAACACGGTCACCTACTAGGTGTATTTTTTTCAAACAGCTCGGGCTCACTAGCAGCCTGTAGGCCGAGTGTGGCGGCTCCTCTCTGTGTGTGTGTGTATTGGTAAATGCTAATACTTCAGACACTCAAGGGCTTCCGAGAAATGTTGAGCGCTGTGTTTTTTCCATGAGCAAACGAAGGGGGTTTTGTAGTTCTTGTGTTGTCTCGCAAGGCGTCCGTACTTCCGTGGATTCATGGCAGCAGAACGTCAAATTAAAAGTCCCTTATAGTTTATTTTACGTTTTTATTATTGTAATTTAATCATTTAAATGTAAATGAAAATTTATAATAATAATAATATAATATAAATATATTATAATATATATTATATTATTTATCTATAATATTAAATATTTTTCTACAGCTGTTTTGTACCGGAAGAAATGAACGGTTAAAAAGATAGTACTAAAGCGCCATCTACCGGGAACAATAAGTTACTGAATGACGTTCATGAATGCAAGATTTATAAGATTTACTTAATCTCAGATCAATAAGGCATTTTCTCTGTGGTCCATCAGATATCTACTGCAATATAAAAACTGGGCATAATACTGCATGTAAAAAAATTGGACATAAAAAACAAACACATTTGACTAACATACCTGCATATGCAAAATTAAGGGATCATTAGTTATATATTTGTTAGTTACATATATTTGTTGGTATTTATTCCTCTGTTCTATAAAACAATGACAATGAAGAACCTTAATAAATTTCACAAAATTAAAAAAGAAATCTGAATAGAGAAACAGGACAGATTCATTTATATTTTAAATGCTTCAGGCAAAGGAAGAATTACAGACCATTTGCAATAAAGGTATCAAATTGCTTTATTAACCTGTATTCAAGTTACATAATTAAAAACTGCTTTTTTATGTAAATCGTTTATCTTTATTTCAAACCACATATTATATAAAACAATCATGCATATCCTTGTACAAAATACAAGATGTTTCAGTACAAGCCCTCTCCAAATATCTAGATCTTCCACTTCCACTAGTCTAAATTATCTTGTGATGATCAACACAACAAAATTCAAGCATGACAAATCCAAGCTTGATTAATCCGAGTAGCGACATAAATTCAGGTTCTTCAGTTTCCATTCAGAGCTTTTAAATGCATGTCTACCATTGAAATTCCTAATATGCGTTTAACACTTAAAACTCATTGAATCTGTTGTCTTCAATGATGACTGTCCTCCTGGGATACGTGTCAATCTCTACAAAAATATACCGGAATTCATACTTTCCAGTGGCAGGATTCTGTCAGACAGAAAAAGCAGTTTGTTATATATTTGTCAACACTATTTTTGCACGAAACTAAAACAATTGTTTGTTGTTTTCATTGAGATGTATTGTACCTCCTTGGATTCTGAATGAACAGTTCCCCGTAATCCTGGTTCAGATCCCTCAACGTAAAATTTCAGCCGCATGTACTTGATTCCACCCTTCATGTACTCTACATGACTAAGAAAAATCTTGAAAGCATAAGTGAGGTGTAACAAAAGTTATTTATTTATTTATATTAAAAATTGTACCTGACTTGTTGCCTTCTGCCACGCCGACTGGTCTCTCCAAAGCCCTTGATAGGCTCTCCAAAAGCTCCTATTACCTTCATATACAGCAAATACCCAATTTATTCATATGTTTAACATAGTTGGTTTGTTTATCTTCATAGCTCATAACAAATTAATCACCCTTTGCTGACCTCTGGGTGAGTTCTGCACTTCTCAAATGCTTTTCCATAAATTTTGCTTGGACTAGAAGAGGAAAACAGCTCTTGAAAGACGACGTACAGCAGTCCACCTAATAAGGATGACAATCAGATCATTTATTATACTGTTGAACATATATATTTATAATATAAATATGCATGGAAATGTCTGAGCAGGGGATCTTTAATTGATCTTTGATAACAATGGCATCATCAACTAGATGTTTGAGTGAGCCGGATGATGGGCACACGTCTTTGGATCAGTGTTATTATTGTTAATTAAAAAAAATAATTAAAGCTAAAATAAAATATAAATATTAGATTAAAAACTTACATTTACAAAACTTAAAATGATATATATATATATATATACACTGTACAGTGTACACACACTCCTGGGCAGAAAAAGAAAAAAAAGTGCCAAGCCCAAATTGCCTAAACAATCCACTTTTAATTGTCTTCACCACAAATTATTGGTCAGGACATTTGCAAAATTTAAGCAAATGCACTACTTAAAAAGCCATTATTGTCTCAGTAAAACATCAAAGACAGAATGAAGGTGCATAATGATGCTCCAGAGCAGTGTCTTTGAAAATCTGGTGAGAAATATAATAATAAATGCATCTCTACCACAGTAGAGCATTGAGGAAGAGGAGTCATTGTGTCGGGAGCCTTTTTAGCTGCTCGTATTGCTGAGCTACTTTACTGTGAAATGTCATTTAATGTTTTGGTGTGCAGGAGTATATTGCAGAATGGCTTGCTTCCCACAAATGAAAAGTTGTTATCTAAAGAGAAATGATCAGATATTATTTCCTGCACAAATTGCAATTCCATCAGGCTCAAGTTTTGGCCAAGTCAGAGTCCAGATTTGACCCCTATAACGAATATTTGGTCTCACAAATTGATTTGGAACAACACTGACTCTTTTTCCTGTAAAGATCTATCTGCAAGTTAACAGGGAAGGCTATTCAGGGAAGGCTATTCTGTGCTAAGTTACTTGATCTGCAGATTTTGTACAATTCTTGCTAATTTCCTGACCAATAATAGAGAAAATATTTTGCCATTTTTGGCTTGGTACATTATTTTTGGCCAGGAGTGTGTGTGTTTGTGTGTGAACGGTACCATGATGTTCCACAATCCAGCCCTGGTTGGTATCAAATCAAACATGTCACCTGTTACACCGAGTCCAACGAGCACCACAATCAAATAAGTGAAATCTTTGCCGGCTTGTTTAACTGTTGAGGAAAGACACATAGAATCAGACATGCGCGTATAACTAACTAAATCAAACCATTAAGGTTACATACTTCCACTTCCTGCCAAAATATAATCTGTAGTAGATTTATAGCTGGGATCTCTTTAAAAACGGAGAATCTTTGCTTTAGCCTACTTTTTCTAGTGACTGGTTGGCAATATCAATTCCTTACCATTAATATGGTATTTTGACGGAAAAGATACGGTCAATACGGTAATTCTCTGTAATGCACGCACGCACCTTTCTGTGTAGCAGACGAGCTTGGAGGTGTGTATGGACTTCTGGAAACTGACACCTTGTCAGTGTCCTTCTGTCCATCGTTTCTACTACAAAAACGAACTCCTGTATGAAGCGAGCGAGTGTGGTAAAATGTCCAGTTTAACCCAGAACATAGATTCGTTTGTGTCTGTAAAACTGATATCTGTTGTGGTAGTCTGGCATGCACACGTTTTAATATGTGCTGCACACAGTTTGTCGTCCTTCCGATTCTGAAGAAAGAATACATCATGATTCCTTATAAATGACCGGTCTATAAGCAGTTAATCTAAAGGATACACCGTGCATCACTTTAACATGTTTTAATGATGACTTTCACACGTCTCCTGATCGTTTATTGAAGTAGAACTAAATGGCATTGGTCCTTGGCTTCACGCTTTCTGTCTTAATTTTCAAAATAAAAGTACCAATTCACGTGAAGAGCCGTGTCAGAATTTCATCACTGGACATATATATTCGGAGCTGTTCACGTGGTGAACAAGTAAGAACTGAACAAAAGGTACGAGCTCTAAGACGACATGAACTCTTTTTACAAGTTGAAATCACGTAATTCGCTCTGTGCACGAGAAAAATGCTAACTTCCGGCTTGAGGGTGGAAATTGGGTACTTCGTTTCCGGTTGCCGTCTTGTTTACATCAGTGGACCGGCGTTAAGTTAGTTTAATCGTTCGTAATGGACCTAAAACATAAAAAAAACCGATTCACTTTTCAAAGGGCAGTCGGTGGTAATACCATAATTCCTCAAATAAAAGCTGGGGCCTTTATTTACCTAAACTGCAGAAGGTAACAGGCTTTTATTAGAGGCAGGCGCTTTATTTAAAAAAAATCTAAATCAAATTTCCGTCTGGGTTCCATGCTCCTCAAGACAATTTCGTTTTCATTAAAGTTGTTGAAAAGACCGTTACACTAGCAGCACTAAATTATATGTGTGTTACATCTATTGTCTACTACCATCTATTGGCTGTACGTTACGATGAACTTGAATGCATATTAGGGGATGTTTACACCTGGCCACTTCATGTGTTTTCTCAGATCGGAAAGCTCTCTGATTTATCAAAACAATTCTACTTAAATCTGCTCACAAATGCGTTTTCGCAAAACGGATATAAATCTTCAATTCCCACGCTATATGCGGATTTAATGGAGTGGACGTCACCGAAAGCAACAGATATGAGCTGCATTTGATAGATCAGCTCATTTCTAAATCAAAAGACCGCAATAAGCGAGAGCGGCAACAAGCCTGGTAAGATCATTTCGTTTCTTTACTTTTAATGATGAGGAGAATTGTCTGCGACTTACTTTCACTTTAATTTGCAATAGTTTGCACGTTGGCTTTATGGATAGATGCTCGGCTGCCGTGATGCGTGTTGCAGTAGCGTTGTCACATCTTGCTATAACATTACATAGCCTATAACACGCTCTCACACTTATTTTTTAGCGTTTTTGGGAGGAGTAAAATTTAGATACGTGGTTTCAACAATCAGATGCATTTGATTTACACTTGTGCAGTTTCGTCTGGAATCTCGTCTCAGATCTCCTCCTGAAGAAGTGGTTTGAGCGATCGGATTTAAATTGTCTCGAATGTGCTTCGGATGGCATTTATACATGGTCTTTTCACGATCAGATCACAGAACACGCATGAAGTGGACAGGTGTAACATCTCTTCAATGAAAGTCATTTAGGAGATTATCCACACTAATTTTCCCCCGGCCTTTATTTGTCCGCGTTGATCACGCACCCGGCCATTATCAGAGGCCCGGCGTTTATTTGAATACCGGTTTTTATTTGAGGAATTACGGTAACCAGGCGCTGCTGCATTGTGAAAAGTAAACAATGTTTAACGTTACTTCTACGTCGTCCATCAGGCTACCGGAAACTAGACACCCCCTATCGGTTTCGCAGCCGGAAGTAGCATATGCTAACGTGCACATAGTCTATTGCGGTAATTACGACATGGCGTGAACGCACCTTTTATCTGGGAAGTAAAACAACGGTAACAAACAAACACGAAACGTTTTAACTTTTTTTTTTTAAAACGTTGCATTTTAAAATTCTAGAAACCGCACATAAAATTTCAATAATGTAACCACACAAAACATTTTAGAAACTTTCTAGAAAAACCTAGGGTGAATTAAAGCAAGGGATAGGCCTAGTTCAGCCAAAAATGAAAATTCTGTCATTTACCCTCAAGTTGTTCTAAACCTGTATGAATTTCTTTATTCTGTTAAACATATAAATAATATATTTTGAAGAATATTGTAAACCAAACCGTTTCTGGTCGCTATATTGACTTCCATAGTTTGAAAAAAAATACAGTGGAAGTCAATTGGCACCAGAAACTGTTTACCAACATTCTTCAAAATATCAAAACAGAAGAAAGAAATTCACAGGTTTGGAACAACTTGAGGCTGAGCAGCCTAAATGATGACAGAATTTTCATTTTTGGGTGAACTATCCCTTTAAGGGTGATTGGGACAGTTTTTGAATTTCCACCTTGTGTAAGGTTTGCCATAAATTAAAAACATGACCCCAACACACCATACATTTCTGTAATAGCCTACTGAAGATGTTACCTGTCCATTTGAACATGACACAAGTTTATATTATAATGAAAGGATGCATGACATTTTATGTAAACGGAGCCCAAACCCTAGCCTGGCATGCCAGACCTACATCAAGATGTTAGATTGGCCTGACCAGTTTTTGGTTTTTACAGCTCAAAAGCCTATGGAGAGTTGCTAGACCACACTGGCTGCGAAATAATTTTCGCTGCCGCTAGGGTGCGTCTAGATTTCTAGGCTACCCAAACCCCCTTTTTTGGTAACATTTGGGTGATTGGGACAGGCTGCACAGATCATTGATTTAGGCTAGTGTAAGCATATTTATTACACAAGTTAGTTCATACTTTGATATAATTTCATATGAAAGATTTTTCTGTTTATCATTACATCCAGGTTTATTTCTGTTCAACTTAATTTCTCAATGTTTATAAATTCGCATGTAGGCTTATTGAGGTAAGAATGCTTGAAGTCCTTGAAAAGTGTAATCAAGTAAAAAAAAAAAAAACCTTATTATGAAAACAAGCAAAAGCTTATGTAATTTTCAGGGTCAACTTGTCTGATGTATGCCCCCCCCCCACATGATGTCACATTCAATTTTCAATTGAATCCAATTTTGATTGTGGTCTCATTAGGTGAGAAAATAAACTGTATAGATACGGTCCCATTTGACCTTCTGTCCCAAAAACCCTCAATTCACCATTTGTTCAGAAACGTCAATATTTCATATCTTTTTTTAAATACAAAACCAAGACCAAGTTTTATTCAGGTTTTACAATATAATCTGAACATTTGAACGTTTCTAAAGTATATTGTAAATACTGAAATACAAATACTGAAATACAAATGGCAACATTATAAAGTTTGTGAAACATTATTTGTCTCAATTGCAAAACTTTAATAATGATGAACATTTCATTTATTTTGGGGGTAAATTAAAGTGAATAAATGAAATTTATTTATTCATGTTCATATTTGTTTTCTTACTTGTAATCATATATCACAACTATTTTACCAGTTAACACACATGCCTCAAACCTCTTTTCTAAAAACCTTTGATATAAAATCAACTATAAATAGTTGATTCAATCATACATAATAAATCCAGTCATTCATAATAAAGTTCCAATGTTTGTCCAAAAGAACACCTTTGTTTCACTTTATTTAAATCAATGTGTCCAGCATCAATCAAACATATTAACTAAATGCGCTGTGTCAAATTAATAGGTTTCTGTTTCTCAAATCGTAAGTAGAAGGGAAATATTCTTATTTCTTAATATTCTTAATATTTCTTATCAGTAAGCAACTTGATACCAATTCTTTGAAAACCTTGCTCGGCACACTTAGTATATTTTACTGTATGCATAGACATGACCATAACTGACCTTAATGTTGAACATTAAGAGAACAAGTCTTGTGTTTAAACATCTGAGATGCTAGTCAGATACATCTAACTAGGCAATAGTCACAGTAAAATCACCCCTGACCCGGAGGATTACAAACTACCTGTTTATCAGTTGGTTCAAGTATCTTAATGTATGGTTTGGCAATATTTTAAAGGTCTTGATCTATGCTTTCTGCAAAGTAAAAAGGTTATGCACCTATACTCAGGACATTACAGTTTGTATTGAAAAATAATCTGAACATTACAATCATCAAATCAGAGGAAACAAAAACATGTCTGATTCATATTCCACTGAATGAAAAATGTACATCAGTTTGTAGATTCTGTTTCAGTCCAGTGTCTGAAAAATAGTTTTTAGTCTCCAAGAGCTTCACAGTATCAGCTTTAGAACACAAGTCGGGGTCAAGATATTCCCCATCAAATTCTAAAAAATGACAAAAAAGCAAACTTGTCACTATGTTGCACCCCTTCAAGTTCTTAGAGGCTGCTTCCACACGATGTCAGTACAGAGAAGTCTAGGATATGATGTAATAGCCTGTAAAGAAATTAACATACTATTAAACTTCAGATCATTAACATTCATGTTTAAAAGAATATGTACACCACCATTGATTGGGGTCGGTCGGTAATATTTTTCAGTATTTTTGAAAAAAGTATCTCATGCTCATCAAGGCTGCATTTATTTGATCAAAAATACAATAAAAACAGTAATTACAATTTAAAAGAACACTTTTTAATATTATTTCAAATGTAATTTATTCCTGTGATGGGAGACTGTATTTTCAGCATCATTACTCCAGTCTTCAGTGTCGCACGATCATTCTAATATGTTATTTTGGTGCTCAAAACATATCTTATTATTATTAATGTTGAAAACAGTTGCTTAATATTTTTTGTTGATTTTTTGATTGATCAAACAGCGTTTATTTGAAATTGAAAATATTCTTTAACATACATTTCTTTACTGTAACTTTTGATCAATTCAATGCATCCCAAGTGAATAAAAAAGTCACAAAAAATCCATTCACTGAAATATTAATTTTTCATGTTGCATTTAAAGTGCATAGTGAGGCTGCAAATTTGTACACAATGTAAAAACTTTTTTTTTGCCACACATAAAATGCCATTTAAAACAAACAAACACGAAATACTGTAACATCAAAACTTATAGAAGTAAAAAGTTGAAACAAACCTTTGTGCCTTCCACTTCAGATGACATTTTGTCTACATATAAGAAAGTGGAAATTCATCCATAATGTAAATTCATTCATTCCTCAATAGCATTTATTTTCCTTTATATAGTTTAAATTCTAAAACAAAAATGTAATGACAATGAACAGACAGACAGAAACACTGACAATTCATTTTAATTAGTGTGATGACTAAAAATATAGCTTGAAAAATCAGGGACATTTACCATACTCTCTCTCTCTCTCTCTCTCTGTGTGTGTGTGTGTGTGTGTGTGTGTGTGTGTGTGTGTGTGTGTGTGTGTGTGTGTGAAAGAGAGAGAGAAAGAAAGATAAAGAGAATGAGATGTTTTGAGGTCTTGCATTTGGGGTTTTATACTGATCTTTTCATCTCACATCTGATATTCACTGCAGGTTAATGGATCACATAAACAAAAGTTTATAATTTTTAATGTCATTATTTATAATAATAGTTTATTGTTCTTTGACAGAGCTTGTATTGATGATTCGGCATCTACAAAAGTTTGAACACAGTTAACATACAAAGTTTGTGTGCTACTAAAATGTAGCAAATGTTAACTTACTGTCATCCTTCATTTGTCCTAAACATCAGCAACTGAAAGTGTTTACAGTATTTCAAAAATAATTTATGTAAATGAAACATCCCATACTGAATCATACTGTAGATCTTATAAATCTGATGATTTTAGCATGCAGTTAGTAAGTATAGCAGTAAACTATAGGGGAGGGGAAGGGTATATGTCATTCCATTTGCTTTAATATATATATTTTGTAATTAAACCTATCAACAATAAATTAGTCTTGGGTTTGATGCTGTACCTAAATGCACAGTCACTCACTTAAAAATGATAAAGGAAATATGCATGCAAATCTTAACATTAAAGTGAAGATTCAGACAAGTATGTGGATAGAAAGTGTTTGCTAAAAGTCACAAATACCCAATGTCTTAAAAGCATTTTAACAAATATAAAGACGTTTGGTGGCAAAACATGACAATAAAATGCATGCACTACAACAGTCCTGAAAGCACTGATTCACATGTATTCATGTAAATGAACAAACTACCATGTAATGTTCTGCAATCCTAAATAAGTAACCTTCAAAAAACGGTTATGCGACTAAATTAGGAGCACATGTTAAAGCGATTTCAACACAGTCACTTCCTTTGTTACTGAATCCATGTCCTCCTTTACATCTGCAGGTTGTTTTGATAAATTTGTCTTTAAAATGTCCATGTTATTATCATGCTGGTGTATATCTCCGGTCCACATTTTCATATTTCATTGAAGCCCGTTCGTACTGATCCAGGATTGCACTATTTTCAAGAAGTCTACACGATGGAGACAATGCATGATGGAAGATGAGAAAAACACAGCATTGCACATTACACAGTACGACACACACAAAATCATTTGCAAAGCACAAACAACAAAATCACCATTAATATGAAGAAATGCTGCTTTTTTGTTGATCATCAAGACTATCAAAAACACATCAAATTATATCACATATAAGTAAACTGCATTTATTGGTTAAAGAGTGTTTTGAAAATGTGTTTCTTTAATTTAAAGCTATCATAAATTAAAGACATTTTTTAAATGGATATTTCCCCAACTCACCCTCATGTTGTTTCAAACTTCCTTTCTTCTGTGTAATACAAAAAGGTGAGTTTTCTTTTTACTTAAAAATGTATTGGAATAAAGCTGATTTCTTGTTTCCTGATATCCTGAAGAAGTGTAATTTTGAGTCTGATTTGATTATAGAACTGCTTGCAAATAGATTCATCCTTTATTTTCTGTCTGTTTTAACCGCTTGCTGACACCAACTAACAGAAATAAATGTTTCAGTACTAAAATTAAATAACTTAAATAATTAAAGCTATATAGAAATATTTAAAAATAATAATACAAAATTACAAAACCACAACAAAATCATTAGAACTTTAACTAAAATTAAAATGAAAACTAAAAAATGTAAAATAAAGCTAATTCAAAATAATAAATATACTATAAAATTTGTTAACATTAGTTAATGCAATAACTAAGAATGAGCGTTTTATTTTAACAGCATTTATTAACCTATGTTAATGGTAGTTAAAAATAATAATATTCATGTTAATTCACAGTGCATTTACCACGTGTTTCCCATGTGCAAAGTATGTTTCACATGTGTTTTTGTACATGCGAAATTCATGTTGTTCTTAGTTCATGTTAACTAATATAGTTAACGAACTTGTAAAATGTTACCCGATAATAATATATAAATGAATACTGGTAAATTATACATTATTTGCCAAGCCAGGATATATATATATATATATATATATATATATATATATATATGTATATATATATTTTTTTAAACTCACCTTTGTGTGTTTCACTTAAAAAAAAGTAAGGGTGTGTATACAATGACAGGTTTTTGTTTGTTTTTAATTTCATTTAAAGTTATTTCTTCCTATTTTTGTTCACAAACTGCAATTTCCTCTCAGTGGGGTTGAATAATGACTCAAAGTGTTTGCAAGACAAGCATGGATGACCCTCAACAAAGTGATGTGCTTCAGCTGAACCATACTTTTTGACACCTTGTTAGGAGTCCTTGAATTTGCCAAAACAAATAAAAGAAAGAAAACATGATAAGCAAAATATAAAAGGACCTCACCAATAAGCAAGATGGTCATATGTCCTACGATGACCGTCTCAATGGCAATGATGAATGGTTTTGACAAAACACAAAATAAATAGTACAATAAAGAAAAAACCCACAAAAAAACACGACACTGACTCACAGACACTGACTAGACAAACATTTAAATACATACAAATTAAGTGTGTTTAAAAAGTCTTACCTTCAGATTGTCTGTTACACCCTAGTTGTGTTGTACTCAGATTCATGTTTGTTTAGAGACCCAATGAGGCAGAACCTGGAATATCATTGCTTGTATGTTTAATATCATGGTATTTTTTGCATAAGGAATTATAATGCACATTTCATTTGTTTGGGGTCTAGTTCTTAAAATTGTTTCATAAACCCTGTCATTTTCATTTAGTCAAGAATAAACACTACTGTTCAAAAGTTTGGGGTCGGAAATATATATTTTTTTTAAATTGTTTTTGAAAGAAGTCTCTTAGTAAAAAAAAATATATTATTGTGAAATATTATTACAACTTATAATAGTTGTTTTTTTCTATTTAAATATATTTTAAAATGTAATTTATTCCTGTGATGGCAAAACTGAATTTTCAGCATCATTAGTCCAGTCTTCAGTGTCACATGATCCTTCCAAAATCATTCTAATAAGCTAATTTGTTGCTCAAAAAACATTTCTTATTATTATCAATGTTGAAAACAGTTGTGCTGCTTAATAATTATGTGGGTGGATGAATGGATGGATGAGGCATTAATATAGCGCTTTATGTACTACTGTACATCCAAAGCCCTTTATAATCATATCAGGGGATCTCTCCTCAACCACCACCAGTGTGCAGCATCCACTTGGATGATGCGACGGCAGCCACAGTACAACGGTGCCCGTGCGCTCACCACACACCAGCTATAGGTGGAGAGAAGAGAGAGTGATAGAGCCAATTCAGTGGATGGGGATTATTAGGAGGCCATGATTGGCAAGGGCCAATGGAGGTGATTTGGCCAGGACACCGGGGTTACACCCCTACTCTTTACCAGAAGTGCCATGGGATTTTTAATAACCACAGAGAGTCAGGACAGTCTCGGTTTTACGTCTCATCCGAGGGACGGAATGTGGAAATGTGATACATTTTATTTCAGGATTCTTTGTTAAATATAAAGAACAGCATATATTTGAAATAAAAATAAGTTTATAATGTCTTTACTGTCACTTTTGATCAAATGAAAGATCCTTGCTTAATAATATATATTACTGACCCCAAACTTCTGAACAATAGTCTACATAAAGTCTCCGGTTACGACTATAACCATGGTTCCCTGAGAAGAGGAACGAGACACTGTGCCATTGAGTTGATGCTATGGTAAGTAACACTCCTCGTGAGTCGGAGTCACAGTCAGGTGACGTCACAGGCGTGCCAGCTGAGTATATATATAGGTGCCTAGAAAAAACTTTATCAGCCTAATTTTTCTGAAGGAAGCCGTACAAGCATGCCAAAAGTATGGCAACACGACGCAGTGTCTCATTCCCCTTCTCAGGGAACCATGGTTACAGTCGTAACCTGAGACATTCCCTTCCAAAGTGGAACTTTACACTGCATAATGGAGTTCACACTATAGGAACGAAATGCCCAATACCATACTCAGTGATGGGAATAACGGCGTTATAAATAACGCCGTTACTAACGGCATTACTTTTTCCAGTAACGAGTAATCTAATTGATTACTCTTCTCATCTTAATAACGCCGTTCCCGTTACTGCCAAAAAATGCGGCGCGTTACTATAACTGATGAAGCTGGGTTTTTTTTTTTCATCAGACCAACTAGATCTCTGAGCGAGAGGCAAATACTTTTTTTTACTGTTCTTCCTTGGTTAGTGGGCAGAGCACGAGACAAGCGCATAAATGCTGACGACTGAGGTAGAGTAAAATGTCATTGTAAGCCAATCAGAGGTAGAGTTGGGCGGGTGTTCGAAAGCACGCATAGTAGTGATGGGCATTCGGCACTTTTGACTCAGCTCACTGAAAAGAGCCGGCTCTTTTGGCTCACAAACGGCTCTTTAAATGACTTTGACTATAATATTTAAATTTTTATTACATAATTATTTAATTTCTATAGGCTAAATTTGTAAAAATAGAGTCGGCTCTTCAGATATGCGAGCCAGCTCCCGACGTTCACCTAAAAGAGCCGGCTCTTAGAGTCGCCTCATTCGCGAATCGCGAACGACCCATCAAAAGCTCATTCGCGAACGAGTCGATCCATCATCACTAACGGCTAACGCTCATGAATTGCGAACGACCCATCATAACGCATAGTCGGACAGGACAGGACACACAATGAACAACACAAGCAAGCCAGTCAGTCAACGAGAGACAGGTATGGCGACGAGCTTAACAAGCTTGCTTGGGCAATATTATAGCTTGTGTTAAATTTTGCCCAGTTGTGGCCTGTTGAGGGGCAATAAATATCAAAAGTTCCAAAACATCTATTGTGTTATTTGCATTGATCCACTATATAAACATAATATCTACATGGCATTTGATGGAGGCTAGTCTCATTTTGTCCCACAGCAACATTTTTTTTTTTTTTTAGATGTGTGTACAATGTTTCATGTTTCTGTTAATAATGTATTGTATTAAGTGTCCATTTCATTATAATATTCAGATTTATCATAAATAATTGAACATGCACATGTATTGTAAGTTCCGTTAAAGAGGGGTAGAGGTGGGGTCACATTTGAGCATTTAAATTTTAATTTTACTTGAAAGTAACGCAATAGTTACTTTCTTAAGTAACTAGTTACTTTTAAAATTTGTAACTGAGTTACTAATTTAGTTACTTTTTGGAAGTAGTAACTAGTAACTGTAACTAATTACTTTTTAAAAGTAACTTGCCCAACACTGACCATACTGCCCAAATGTCTGCTCACTGTGCAGTTAAATCATCAGCGAACTAAGCCGTAGCCAAAGATTGCCATTTAGCGGACCTAGTGACCCAGAACTTACAGCCTGAGGCAATATCAGCAGTTGAATATCACCCATATTATATGATACATGCCGGGGTAGAACTGACTAGGTAGATCGCAGCCTCTCTGCGTCTGCAACCAAAGAGGAGGGGCAGACTAGAGAACTGCTACCTGGACCCTCAGCCATAGTTCCAGAGGGACCACCTCCTCCCAGAGTAAAATTATTTAGCATCCATTCCAAAGGACCAGTAGAGGCCTCAGGAGAGAACACCATTCTCTCAACTTCATGCTCTACCCAAGAAACATGGCAATGTTCTTCAGGGAGATAGTGAAAGAGCATCGGGATGGAGCATCACATCCAGCTCCACCCCCTTGCTCTCTATCACCGATCATCACAGGGGCGTGACTGCCCAACCTCTTATAGCAACTTACTGTAGCGTCTGGAATACTGCCTGTATTCCAGAGCGGCTCTCTTGCACTGTGTGACGTGACAGACAACTAGTTGTCCTGTCTGGTTCCATTCATACAGAGCAGGTTTTCCGGGAAGGCGTTGCGCAGTTTCATCAAACGACAGAGAGCGGGCTGCAAGCTGCGACAGAGTCCACTTTTATACTCTGTCCCAATACTCCTTACGAACCAAAAACATGCTAACATAGTCCCCTGCTATGTCCCCACTTATAACCTCCAGGTACAGACTGGAGGGGTGTCAAATGAAGGAGTGAGACGCAGAAGAGGTATTATCCTCACTGTACTGCCCATCCATATATAGGAATGGCTTTATTATGGCTTTGATGGCAAGGCTGGAGCATTCCATGAGGACGCCGCACCGGGGACAAGATAGCTCACAAGCTACTCCTCAACCTGGGGCATCCCAATCCATGTTCATCGAGCCCCTTAACGTTGGCATAACTGTTCATTACGAGCCAAAAATGGCTTCCCCCACGATCTCGCTACTTCAGTGTGGAGATTGGGGAGGAAATGAAGGCTTACTGGAGAGGGATGCTTATGACCCCGAAGGAAACGCTCATCCAGCCTGCTTGGGGCAGATTCCTTTCTCTCCACAGATCAATCTAATTTTAACTTGGCCGTGGAGCAGGTCATTACGTCGACCAGCTCCACGTGTGTGGGGGTGAGGGAGGAGACAGACTCATTCAAAACATCTGCCTCAACTCCCATTACATCTAGTTCCTCAGAACTAGATCAGGCCAAAATCATGCTCTCCGCCAGATCGGAAGAAGCTGCCAAGTGGGCTTCCGGATCTGGCCTGAGAGCTGAAGAGCTAGGAGACAAAGAAGCTGATGACATTCTTTCTAGGCGCCCTTATATACTTTGCCAGCTGGCTGCGCTATCCAATCAAAATTGTTGTGTAACACACGTTCTTCAGACTCCGGCTCACGAGGAGCGTTCCCATAGCATCAACTCCATGACACAGTGTAGTTCCACTGCGAAAGGGAAGCTTGTTAAAACAGAAACCCTTTTGATAATTTCACATATATTCTCCCTGAAAACGGACCTAAAAAAGGCTGTTTATTTCTAAGTTCCATCTTAATGTAGCATGTCTTTAGCTGAACATTAACATTTAGAAGTGTCAGCCTTTCCCTTACTGCAGGCATTTACTTAATACATCTTCTGCATTTCTACAGCTTTTACAAACTCAGCTCTGACTGTGATGCTGTCTCAGTGACAAAAAAGAGAATATCAAAGCAAAAAACAAACAAAAAAACAAACAAAAAAGAAAAAGATAAGATAGCTAAAACAAACAAACAATGAGAAGCTGATTAGAGGAGCTAAAGAGGAATAAAAATGAGAGTGGGAGTTAATCCTTCCAAAATGTGCATTATGATGAATTTGTATCATCAAAAATCAATGGATACTAACCGCTGCACTGCTTTCTCGTGTCTGGACAGCCTGTGGCTAGTGGTGGGCACTTCCTCCAGGTCATCATCTAGGTCACAGGCATCTGCGGCATCTTGTGAGTAGGTGTGTCTCATTACCAGAATGTTCCTGCGGTTGGTTTGGGGAGGAAGCGGCCGCATGGGTTGTGGTGGGAGGTCCGTCAGGATGGCCGCCGCCGCCTCGCGGGCGCTCAGGTTGGTGTGGCTGCCCTTGTTGCTGGACAACTGCGTGGAACCGCAGTGATGCTCGTGGACACAGCGCGAGGAGGCGCTCCGCAGCTTGTGGTAGCTCTCAAAGTCCTCGGCCAGCTCGGCTAGGTCCGCGGATGTGGCCGCCGCGCTGCGGAGAGTGCACAGTTCATAATGCGGTGGCTCCTGGAACACCTCTTGGAACATGGTGGGGTCAAAGTCTTCCCGCCTCAGGATGTACTTCTTCCGTGGCTGCTTGATTTGAACGATCACAGATATGACAAGTAGGATCAGTACGATGCAGCACGTCACGCCGATGATGGTGCCGTTGGTGTTATTGAGGTTGTCCAGGATGTTGGCTTTCCTCTTTTCTGCAAAACACAACAAGAAGCATAATAAATGATTACTGCAGGCATGCAATGTCACCGTGGGTTACCTTCTGTTGAAACAGTTGTATCAAAGAGATTACAAACAGCACACAGAAGTAGTAAATCATTCTAATGGGAGAGCGTTGACATTTATGTAGCACAGTGAGCGTATAACATCTGCGCTGGCTTTGGTTCAGAGGAGAGAAGCATTTGCATTCAGATGTCCAGACAAACCCCAAACTAAGGCCTTATGATATTTTTCCAAAATCAAATCATTTGGCTTTTATAATGTCATTGTACCAAAACCAAAAGAAATGATTAAATATTATCTGGTCTTTGGATATATACATTTTTAATATGAATTATTTTTTAATATTTATTGTAGTATTTTTTGTTTACTTTTTTACTTTTTCTTTTCATACTTATTGTTTTTACTATTCATCTGGGTCTGTGGAAAATAATAAGCATTGTATTATAAAGTTGAATAATGAAAAACATGTTCTTTCCATTAAATTTCCAAATTTAAAAAAAAGGTAGCCTAACTATTTTGTAACATTTTATTTTGTATTGTTTTTAACTTTTCTTTTTATTACTGTTTAAAACTAAGGCTAAATACAATAATTGTGATTAATATCATGATTTACAATTGAACTATAGAAAGCAAAATGAAACAAGTCTACTTTAGTAAATGTGTTAAAAAATGTGTTAAACACATTTAATTAATAACTGAAGATAAGAAGGAGAACCCTAAAAAATACACTTTGTAAAGTCTTTAAAAAAAAAACTTCAGTGGGCCCCCAATATGAATATGATTCAACTAACTTGAGTATGTATAACATCAATTAAATACTACATTTAATTGGTAATAACTGATAAATTGTGTTTGATTTGATGATGTCAAATATGTTTTAGACAAAATGTCAAAGTGTTAGGCCAATTTCTCCATATGCCCCTATTGTGGAAAACAAGCTGAGCTAAAACAATTCTCTATGGAGGATCCCAGCGGCATTATTATCAACTTTCAGTTAATTTAGCTTGGACAGCTTATGTGAAATATAAGCATGATATAGCTGAACTGCACTTATTCAAATCCAGCCAGAGCCAGTCATTCACATATACAAATGAATATCTTTGGCCTGCTCATTTTTCCCAGCAGCAGCAGCATTACAGTCCAAAATCAATCAATGAACCCTAGTGCAGAATTTTGAAGGCTTTACAAGGTCTTTTTTTAACAGCTGTGGGTTTGTGAAGATATATTTGATTGACTAGCTATAAAACATGAACAAAAAGGGGACAAATTTGAAGACAATTCTTCTCCATCATTTAGAGAAAAACGAGGGCGAGATATGCACTCACAAACCACTCAAGATTTGAGAGGATATTTAAAAAAAGAACAATTTACCTTTGCAGTGGTTCTCGTCCCAAGGGTAGACGCAGTTCTGGACTCCGTTGCACACCAGCGTGTTGTTGATACACATGTTACTGTGGCAAAAGAAAGTATCTGCCTCACAGGGAGCTGATGAGAGGGGAAAATGGATAATGCTAATGTCATATTATACTTCATTTCTTCCTGTTAATAAGACGCTGTCTATAATCTTATCCCATGCACACAATTAATCTCACAAATGTCTATCTGACTGTGTCTGTGCATCAATACAGTTCAAATTTAGAAACCCATTACTCAAACCAACCAAATCAAATTCTGTTGCCTTCTGCTATGCATGAATTTTAATATAGCTCTTCAAATATGCATGGAAACAAGTCCATGTCTGTAGAAGCAGCACAGATATTTTGTAATATTTCTATTAATATTATTCAGGTTTCACCTCAAGAAAGAGTCGATGCATGCATATACAGTGAATACAATTCTATTTAAATTAGGCCTACTATAGATAAAAATGTATTCAGTAAGTTCACAAGTTTCTACTTGCCAAGATGTGGTGATGATAACTAATACAGACACAAACTGCAAGTACTTTAATATTTATAAAAGCACTAATATCATTCAAGATCAAAGCAGATTAATCCAATATTTGTGTGAAAAATATATTAGGGAGAGTGTTCAAGCAGTCTCCATTTGAGCTGAAAAAAGAATGAATGTCTCAGCTGAAATTATAAAATGAGAAAGTATACGCATGAAGACAACCTCTCATAACATTTACAACATCACTATCTGAAGGCTCAGTTAAAGTCAAGGTGACTTGCAGAAGGGGCGGGGCTTCGGTCTCAATCACCTCGCGTGCAACACGCCCACCAATGTGTGGCCAGTTCCCTTCCCACATACCTCACTTGACATTTTGCAGTCTGCAGAGGACATAGATCAACTAGTTCGTACAAAAAACCCCTAAAATAACAGCTTCAAGGTTGACTGAATGTACCTTGAGGATTTATTAATGACAGTATTCTCGAGCTGCTCCCAGGTGAGAAATAACAACGTAAATTAGGATGACTCATCATTCCAGAAGTGCAGTCCTCACGACTCTCGCCTTCACGTTCTGATACAGTTCCACTTCCCACCACAAAGTGGCGCTGCAGCCCTGTATTTCTCCTAAATAAGGCACTGAAAGAGACTGGACTTCCTTTCTCGGATGGGACCCCATTGACTTCCATAGTATAGGAAAAAAATCACCACTGTTTGTTACCTATATTCTTCAAAATATCTTATTTTGTGTTCAGCAGAAAGAAATTCATACAGGTTTGGAACAACTTGAGGGTGAGTAAATGATGACAGAATTTTCATTTGTGGGTGAACTATCCATTTAAAAGGCGCTTAACCTCCATAGAAATTACAATAAATGCACAGAGCGGCGTTTGTTCATAGTTCAAGGTAACTAATGTACTGTTAACAAATGAAACCTTAAAGTAAAGTGGCTGTTTACACATAAACCAGTGCATGAATTACACAATCCTACAAAATAACAATGCGTACAGGCCTTGACTTTCTTAAAAATAAAGGTCCTGCACAATATATTTATATATATTGAACGATATATATATATATATTGAAGTTCTAAATAAAACAGATTATTGAAGTATGTTTTAGAAGAAAAATACTTTTTCCGTCTTGCAACTTCAATATGTCATGTTCAATTCAATATTACTTGTCGTTTCTTAATTAGGCTACTTGTGAAATTTTCTACCAATTTCTGAGTGAATCCAACATAATTGATCATTCATTCAGTCTGTCATCAGATTGAAAGGCTCTCAAATATGCTGCATTAGTCATATATGCAAGAATCTGGTTGTAAAAGAAGTTGAAACCACTTAATCACTCATCTAAAAACATACGTTGCTTCTGCAGTAGAACAAACGCATACAGTTTCACTTATTTAAAGGTGTGCTGGGCAATACTCTTTTCAGTGGATGGTGGTTTCCCCCGTTCAGCTGCTGAGGCTAGCAAACCAGAGGGAGAAAGCGAGTGCATAAGTAAGTGCCTGGACAAGTTATGCAGGGGTGTTACCCGGGCAACCGCACATCCTGTGTTCATTCACTGGATAGGGCTGCACAAAAGACACTGGGCTCCTACACAAATCCACCTATCGCCATTCACCAAGACTGACGCAGACGCGCAGCTGCATCTTTCTATCTCAGAAAGAGCACTATGTGTTTTCTGCACCCTCAAGGGCCTCAGAACCAAAACCACAGACTCATTCCCTCAACCGTTCTTCTCCCGCATGCTTCAGGATATCCGCCTCTCTCTTTAAACGCACACTAATGTCCATTAAAGCCCCGCAATCAATCAGAAGAAGTGGAAGCTGTGCTGCTATGCTGCTGTCTGGGACTCTGCTCAAAATTGCTCATTTACTATTTTCAGCGCCAGGGGTTTTTAAACTTGTTGATGCCGAGGAAGGACCCTCAAATAGGACGATCCCCTTGCAAGGAACAACTTTGCTAAAATATAAAGAAGGCTATATATTTTTCATGTATTAAAAAGGAACTTATATATTGTGTGGCAAAGAGATATTGTGATAATAAAAAAGAAAACCTTAAAAAATATATATATTTGAATGCATGTAAAGATATTTATTGTATTTTATTAAAATAAATATTTTAATAAAATCTGAAAAGTTATTGTTCTTACTGTTAAAAAAATGCTGTATATAGAATAAAATGATCGTATATATATATATATATATATATATACATACAAACTTTTATGTTAGATGCAATTAATCATGATTAATCATTTTGACAACACTAATATATATACATATATATATATATATATATAATACACACATTATATATATATATATAGAGTATATAATTTATATACAATAAATTATATATAACATTTATTTTTATTGTGACAAAAAATTTACTGTTTCAAAAATTTTATTTTACAAAAATGTTTGTGGATGCCCAGCTCCATAGCCCTAACTGCCTTAACCAATAATTTTGGCTCGTTTTTGGCTTTACATTTTTCTATGCATTGAATTATGGGTACAGTGTCAGTGAATGCACATCAGTTGACCTCTAAATCCTAGTGCATTATGAGTACAAAAAAACTGAACCATGGGAATAGCAGTACAAAATGAAATACACTACAAAATGAAAAGCAGTATATATGTATTTTTACATTTATTTGCTGGGAAAGTGACATATTTCATAATTGTATTCTATTTAGCATTTGTTTATATACTTATATATAAATTATACTGCTACAGTATACACTGCTTTTTCTGTGCACAATGAGGGTGGTGGCATCATTTCCTTTTAATCTTTTACCCATCAGCATCGGCACGGCGTGCTTAGGCTGGGGTCGTTTTTAGGGACCACTGGGACAAGACAAATGGCGATGGGGCGTCACAGGAACGGTGTTGAGACCATTACAAAGAAAGCCGTTTGATGCCGGCAGTGTGCACTAATGATGAGTGTGCTACCAGCTAAACATTAAACTCACATTTTATCACCCTATTTTCACTTTCTCTCTCTCAGCACTTCCTCTCATAGCCAGATACTCAATCTTTATCGCTCCTTTTCTGTCCCTCCGTTCCCACAATACTTCATCCTCTTTTAGAGCACCCATCCTTCAAGTTCCTTCTTTTCTCTCTCTCTCCACCCCCATTACGCTTTATAGTTTCTGATGCTGCTAGCGCTGCCACCCGGAGAGATGTGACTAACTGCAAGGGACCGCCGATTCAAAGACGCCCGGGTGGCGGGGCACCACCGCAGAACCCATGTTTCCTATAAAACGCTCTGTCCCAGCAGGAACAGCTTATCCCTTAAATGAATAATCCTGTTATTCTGTGCATCTGTGGTCTCCCCTGTAGCCCGTGGTTTTATAAAGGCTACTTAGCAGAGGGAACAGGGAAAGTGATCTTTATATTCAGCATGGGAAGGTATGCAACTGATTTTACAGGGCTACAATGTAATGTAATGTAGTATTTAAATAACAAATAGTTTATGTGCCTCATTTCGAAAGAGAATGTATTACACCTTGTGTCCTTGCTTCATTAGAAAAGACTGTGTGTGTGAGTTAAAGACTCTGTCATCATTTACTCACCATCATGCAATTCCAAAACCAGTATGAATTTCTTTCTTCTGTGGAACATAATAGAAGATAATTTGAGAAGAGTTCTTTGTGCTTACAATAGAAGTCAATGGTCACCAAAATGCTTTGGTTACCAACATTCTTCAAAATATCTTCTTTTGTGTTCTGCTGAAGAAAGACAGTCTTACAGGTTTGGAATGACATGATGGCGAGTAAATGATGACAGAATTTTTATTTTTAGGTGAACTATCCCTTTAAACTACAATTTTTGTTGATGAACAACATGGCTGTGGGGGTCCACCACCTTCTAACCAGCGAAAAGTATACCAGCACCAGTATAAACACCAGTATAAACCAGTTTGCTGGTATGTTCAGCAGAGTTGTGAGACATTTATCGTGTGTTTGTGGCTCAAATCTCAGGACAATCGCAGGACATGACCAGCTAAATAAATGGCCCGTGTTTCTTTAATGGACGCATGGATGAGCTGTTTTCATTTCCCAAGTCCTGCTCGGTTTAGCGTTCTGTCAGGTATGAATGTGCTGGTGAAAATGAGAGTGGGAGAGCATTTTTGCTAAGTGTGTGTTCATAAAACAGGGAATAAATACAGAAGTGTTAGATGTCAGTGCTTGTCAAATTTTGTACAAACATGTACACAAGGGTGTAAAACCCATCCGTGCTGTGAGGCGAGATGGGTTTCATGAAAATTGTCAAGAAATGTCAAGGTCTTATTTCAACCCAAAACCAAAGGGAATATACAGTATATATATACACAGAATATTAGGGGTTGAACGACTTCAGATTCGACGTCGACTAGTCACTGATGATGTCATTAATGAACAAATAAGCCTGAACCTGATCCACAATTTTGTTCCTGGATCATCCATCACAGGAATAAAATACATTTTAAAATATATTATAATAGAAAACAGTTATTTTCAATTGTAATAATATTTAACAATACTACTGTTTTACCGTAGTTTTGCATAAAAGACTTTCAAAAACATTTTTTTTTTTTTACAGACTCCAAACTTTTGAACAGCAGTGTAATTTCTGATTGTTTCTTGTCATTTTGATGTTAAATATGACCCATACATTTCTTCATGAGATTCATTCAGTGTAGGCCTAAATAATAAATACAGTAAACACACACAACGGTTGGAACGGAGAGCTTTAAGTGCAGTGAATGTGTGTGTGTGTGTGTAAGGCTTACGCTCTTGGAAGGTAGTGAAGAGTATACGGAAGCGGCTCTTTCGGCTGCCCTCGTCGGCCCACATGCGAACCACTCCCAGCGCGGTCACCAGCATGACGTCGTTGGCCACCGTGCTGCAAAACTTATTCCTCAAGTCTTCCACTGAGCTGCTGCCGTCGTACACCGCCACGAAATTACGTTTACACTCATTGGAGTTCTGCATCTCGTAGTCTAGGAAACGTAAATAGATCTAAGAGAGAGGGGAACAGAGCAAAAACACAGACTCTTAAACCCATTGGAAATCTATTACTTCAAACACACTGGGATTTCCACACAGGAAATGGACCCTTCTGTTTCAACACACCCATCCCAGATGTCATATCAATGACATCTAGATCACCTGGTAAACCTTGTTTGCTTTAACTAACAACAGATCTCTGTGGTCAGAAAAGCCTCAGATTGATGATAATTGCACAGAGAGATCAATAACGAGAACACAGAAGGTTACGTTTGAAATTCAACTTGAACACAAAATTGAGAGGTTTCAAAAAGTTGCAATGAAGAGCTCTCGAAGAACGGCAATAACCTGCACATCTACTCATGCCAGCTCCTTTGGGCTCTCTAAAAACCAGGGAGGTGTTAGAACAAACCATCTGTTCTCCTCTCACCCAATCTGACCCTAATCAAGCTTACTTCACACCTCTCCTCAACCAGACTCCCATTTTCACTGTTTGAAATATTAAAAAATTCTGTCATCATTTACTCACCCTCATGTCTTTCCAAACCTGCATGACTTTCTTTCTTCAGTGGAACATAAAAGGTGAGTTTTTGAAGAATATCCAAAATAGTTTCATAAAAGTGTTTCATATGATTTGTCATTTTCCAAGGCTATTACTACTAAGTAGGCACGAAATAGAAAATGATCATGTCTGTTTTCTAAATGCATATTATTGATCTAATTGTGAATGATTTACCCATGCATATGTTTAACATTTAAAAATATTGTAATTTTTAATTAAAATATCATCCAATCATCTAGTCCACTTAAACACGCCCCTTTCTTACAATTGACTGCAAGCTCACATTCAGATCTGCCTTCATCCAATCAACAACCGATACACTGTAAAAAATGCAAGTTGCTGCCTTAAATTCTTAAGTACAATCAACTTGGATGCTATTTCAACTTCAATTACATTAAAGTGACTTAATAAATTGAGTTGAATATTGTATAGCATTGCATATAAAATTGCATAACATATTTTGATGAGTTAAAGCCATGTAAAAACATATGTTGTCATAACTTTGTCAAACCCAATTTTCTTTTTCTTTTTTAATAATCTGTTTCATTTGGATGTGTGTTACAGTACGAAAGAAAAGATCAGTCACTACTTCCGTTACATCCTGACATTAAGGTATATAATAACTTTGTGTGACCACAGTTCACGATGGTAGCAAGAATCCATCAGGTTTTTTTCTTTTAATCATTCTTTTATTTAGATCTTGTCAATGAATCAGTTGACTGTTCACAAAACCAGTCTGAATGAATCATTCACAAATCAATTGGATTCTGTTCTCAACTCACAGATTTGGTCACAATGGTTAACAGGTCACTGAAGGAAAAGTCTATCAGTGAAAATCGGTTAAACTTCCGTCTCTTCCAGGGCTATCATATGTCTTCAGAAGATCCAAACGGCTAACTTTTATGATACTTTTATGATGGTTTTGCATCCTTTTTGTAGCTTTTAAATCTCTCATTTCCATTCATTGTAATTGCATCGAAAAAAGAGAGCACAACATTCTTCAAAATTTCTCTTTGTGTTCCACAGATAGTCAGTCAAACAGTTTTGAAACAACATGAGGGAGAGTAAATGACAGAGTTTTAATTTTAGGTATACAGTACTATTCCAAATACACTGCTAGAATAACCCTCACCATGATAACATGTCTATTTGACAGAATCAAACCTTCCAAATATTAGTACAGAATGTTCTCCTTTCAGCAGGTGGAGTTTGCAGTATAAAGCGAGGTGATTTTACATTTAATGAGCACTTGGTGTTCCATTATGACAAGTAAATGAAGCACCCCAGTTCAAGCACTGGGTAAAGGCTCATGTGTTACTCAATAACCTTAGTAAATCTTGCTTTTAATTCAACACATTTTCCACTTTTATAGGGGGACTATATATCGATGTGTCATGCCAGTGACATTGGTTGGTTTGTCCTTGCCACCCACAATATGCTCACACCTACAATATAAGTAATGAACTAGTGACACTGTATTCTTTCTGGGATGTTGCGGTGTGTACAATCTCACATCATCAGCAAAAAAGCATGGGGGCGTCACTTATAGCCATACTGTACATAAACCCCACTCACTCACATCTGGACAAATGAAACATAAAGAATGAGGGTTTCCAATATGCTCAGAGAATCACATGAAGACGAAAGCATACTCACTACCATATATGTGCCAGCTTGTTAGCACTTTTTAGTCACAATTCACTAGGAGGAATATCAACAATGTGTGAGACAGTAATTAGACCGAATTGATTTCAGAATGTTTCCCAGATCAGTAAATGAAGCATTAGGGAACCTGACTGGTTATTAAGATAGACTCTCCTAATAATCTAACAACCTTAGGGCAGCTGAAAGCAAAATCCAGAAACTGATGCTGAAAGTGCATCCACTGACTACTGAATAGCCAATCACTAACAGTGCCGTATAAACCCTAAGGTAGAGGAATGTATAATGTGATAAAAGCAAATATTTAATCAAAAGATTTGGGCGGTCCTCAGATCAGTCACAGTAGTCTTATCATTGCACGCTAATTAGTGGTGCTTGCTTTTAATTTTTATATTTTCAACCCCAAAAGTTTGACACAAAACTCATCCGACACCATCTGTGCTAACTGAATAATATGTGTACTTGTGCTGAACGAGGAAATGTGTGCTTTTAAGTGATCAGACATATGGTTTCTTTATGACAAAAAAACAAACAAAACAAAATGATCAATTTATGACCAACATACAGTATATACAGTCAAACCAAAATTTATTCAGACACCAGATATAATTTTTGATTTTTTTTTTTACTAGTGGGTGCAGGACACTATAGTTGATTTATGTAGGCTAAGTGAGGATAGAAAAATAAAGTAAACTGTGACATATACCCAACATTTCTTCATAAAGTGGACTACCAGTAAAATGTATACAAATTTGGAACCAAAAATTATTCAGTACGGTGGCCGAGAGAGCTCAACGCGCTGCAACTGAAGAAAACACATGCAAATAGAAAAAAACGCATACAAATAGAAAAAAATGCGTGCAAATAGAAAAAAACACATGCAAATAAAATTGTCATGAACCACCAGACACAGAGGGATCCAAGTGCAGCGTAGGTTTATTTACAGGGTAGTCAGACAGGCAAGGGTCACAGACAGCAGACACAGCATAGGAGACAAGGCTAAATCGTGGTCCAAATACCGGGCAAGAGATCAGAGGCAGGCAGCAGACGATACGAAATCCAGGAACACAGGCAGAAGGTCGGGAAACAGGCAGGATATCAGGCATGGAAATGCTCTAAAGCAGACTAGGAATCAAGACTAGGAAACACTAGGAATAGACCACGACAGTGACATACAGTCATACAATACTACGCAAAGAGTGATAGTGACAGTGAGGTATAAATGTGTGTGGAGCTGCGTGTGGAACTAGATGCAGGTGTGAGAGTGATCAGTGGAAACAGGTGTGTGAGTAATCAGTCCAGGGTGTGTGCGTGAACAGTCCAAGGGAAGGCAGTGCAGAGGTGGAGCGCCCTCTCGTGGCACTCGAGGGCAATCCAGCCGAACATCGTCACATAACCCCCCCTTTAACGAGCGGCTTCCAGACGCTCCAAAGAAGATCCAGGCGGGGGGCAGAGCGAAGACGATCCTGGGGGAGGGACAGAGGGCCAGGCCCATGCAGGGGAACGGGACCAGGAAGTAGGGCCGCAGAGCTTGGGCGGACCAGACTGGACCGGTGACCAGGGCGGAGCAGGATGAGGCGAAGGCCAGGGCGGAGCAGGATGAGGCGAAGGCCAGGGCGGAGCAGGATGAGATGGCGGCCATGGAGGTGAAGCCCCTGCAGACGACCATGGCGGCGCAGCCCTCATGGTCTCCTCACCGGACCCTTGGCCCCCCCCCCAAAAATACTTGGGGAAATCCACGGGTTCAGGAAAGCCCTCCCGGAGCTTGAAGGGCGCAGGCAGGGCGAGGCGCAGAGGCGGAGCCGGCAGGGCGAGGCGCAGAGGCGGGGCCGGCAGGGCGAGGCGCAGAGGCGGGGCCGGCAGGGCGAGGCGCAGAGGCGGGGCCGGCAGGGCGAGGCGCAGAGGCGGGGCCGGCAGGGCGAGGCGCAGAGGCGGGGGCGGCAGGGCGAGGCGCAGAGGCGGGGGCGGCAGGGCGAGGCGCAGAGGCGGGGCCGGCAGGGCGAGGCGCAGAGGCGGGGCCGGCAGGGCGAGGCGCAGAGGCGGGGCCGGCAGGGCGAGGCGCAGAGGCGGGGGCGGCAGGGCGAGGCGCAGAGGCGGTGCCGGCAGGGCGAGGCATCTGGGAACGCCCTCCGGAGCCTGGCGAGCCAAACGAGTCCTCCTCTTCCTTCTGCGACGGCGCTTCACTGGGCTTGAATCTTTCACTTGGCTGGATTCACTCACTTGGTTAGATTCGGCACTCGATTCACTTGTCTCGGTACTAGACTCACTTGACTCGGCTCTTGACTCACTCGATTCACTTGACACAGCACTTGATTCACTTGACTTGGCACTTGACTCACTTGATTCATTCGGCTCGGCACTTGACTCGGGGCTAGATTCACTTGACTTGGGACTTGACTCCCTTGACTCGGGACTTGACTCGGGACTTGACTCACTTGACTCGGCGGGACGAAACCCAGGCCTGACGGTCTCGGCGGGAAGAAGCTCTGGCATGTCGTGAAAATCTGGCAGGACCTGAAGATTCCACCACTTTCCCACAGTGAGAGCTGAACCACTCAGAAGAAGGGCCATGTCCATATACTGCATTAAAGTACCGTGAGGATCATGGATGGGCATCAGTGACCGGAGCGGTTCAGATAACCCTCCGCGGAAAAAGATCATTAGACATTCGGTGCTCATAAGCGTGAGACGTGCCAGTTCAACAAACTCTTCGACATACCACTCAATCGATTGATCTCCCTGCTGGAGTCGCATAATATCAGCTCCCGTATCCGTGTCGTACTTCACT